GGAGGAGGAAGTTTTCCCTATACTGAAATAAAAATACAGCTAATCTTTGATTTGTGGGAGGAAGTCGTGCTTGAGATGTAGTTGGAAAACGTTGGCCACAGGAGTGAGCACTACATAACTGCTATAAAAGAATTGACGGGATAGATTTTTTCCCTACGTAATTTTTGGTGTTGCCAGATGTCCAGATGTCTGCAGTAAAAATCAGCATTAATTTCAGTTATTGAACAAGGAGCTGTTTATTGTAAGTTAAATAAAACTGTGCATGCAAACATCTTTCACTAGCATTTTCCCATTTGTTATTGTGAGTATAAGCACTACTGGCATTAGTGCATAACTATCCTAAAGATGATTTTGTTGTAGGCTTCTTTTTGTAAATCAGTTTCATTTCTATGCTACATACTCAGAGCAAAAATCAGCTGGGAATGTAGAATCAGGAGCTGCTTGCTTGATGTGTTAGGTATCCAAATGTAATATTGCAGCAGTGTTGGATTTACTTTACATAAATTATTTTAAGCATGTTCCTACTTAATGAAGGGTTTCAAGAATGTCTGTGTGCCGCCTTACATGGATTGATCTGTTTTCTGATGAATAAGTGTTAGTATGGTTTTTTGGGGTTAAATAATCTTTCAGGTCTTCTAGAAAATGAGAACAGCTCGCAGCAACTACAAGATCACAATGCTTGTAATTACAACAAGATATTTTTTAAATATTGCAGAAATTTTAATTGAAATGGCTTAAGTATCTTCACTGATAACCTCTTACGGTTATTTTCTTGTATTCTATTTTGAGCTGTAGTCGATTTGCTTTATTTTATTCAAACAGACAATTCTTATATGAGTAAAGACCAGCATGGTTCATCATCTGAGAGTGAAGATGAAGCACTGGGTAAATATCATGAGGCCTTGTCTAGAACCCAGAGTTCCAGGCTGCCAGTGGTGGATGGCAGACAGCAAAAAAACTATATATGGGAAACCAGACAAAAATATAGTCCCCTGTCTGCAGAATATGATGGATACAGTAGTGAAGCCTCAATAGAAGAAGGTAAGAGTGATTTAAAAGCCTTCCTTTTATTCCAAATTTCAGAACTATGTTCTGGATAAGTAAATCCTAGATGAGAGCAGCTTGGCTAGCAAATAGTCAATGTCTGCAAGAAATATCCAGACACCTCTTATATTAGTGCATGCTCAAAAAAAAATAAGAAAAGCACACACTTGTATACATTCTTCCAGAAATACTACAAATGATACAGTATTTTGTTATATTAAGTTTCATTTAATTTTATCATTATCCATTTCATTTTTGGGGCAATTTAAGCTGTTTTGATGTAGGAAGGAAACATGGCAACTCTTGTTGAATTTGTGGTATTATAAATACAAAGTAGACATATTATTCCTGTATTGATAAGCTGTTCTAACAGCAAAGTAAATGGAATTGGTTATTTGCTACAGTGTACATGGTCATTGTAGTGTGCATTGCTGGAATGTTCTGTATCTTTTTTTCTCTGAAATGACAGAAAGAAATTACTACAAAGATTTGATTAATGTATTTTTCCATGGTTCTAAAAGTTGGATTTAAACATAGATGTTTACTTACATGCTATATAATTCTTGATTTTAAGTTGGGGTGACAGCTTAATGTAGAGGCTGAGAAATCTGCTGTCAGTATTTTGTTAATATGCATTTTGTATTTGAAAATAGGTGTGTGAGAATTGTGTCTATAGCCAGTTTTAAGCAGGAAAAGTTAACTTTTCTGGGAGTTAGGTAAAAGTCAGATTCTGATACAGGTGCTGTATTGTAGTCAGGCAATTTTGGTCTTCCTTTAGTATGTTAAAATGCAAAAGTTTTTAGTGTTTGATGTTTTCTAATAAAAAGTGGGTACATGTAATTAAAAGATATTTCACTTTTAATGTTCTATACAGTCCAGAAGGGCTTGAAAGAATTTGCAGTTTCTACAATTTGATATAATTAAATTATATAAAAATTTGTTTGCTGTTGAAATTTGAAATTCGTACATGGTCATTCAAGCTAAGACTTGAAGTACATGAAAACCATAGTTCAAGTAAATTGCAGAGTAAAAGGACTCTCTTTTGATCATCAGAAAATTAATTTCCTTCCTTTGTTGTTAAATTGTAGGAAGGCAGGTGTCTGAGTTCCAGCAAATAGTGGAGATGCAGAGGTGAGGTCAGATGGTAAAAACTGATCCTTGAACACTGTGATGGAGAAGAAATGGGGATAGTAAAAGTATGTTTGGTTTAGATCTCTCAACAGTGTTGGTGGGGGGAATATGAAAGATAAGATACTCAGGTTTTTTTATGGCTTCTGTCACTGTTGGGAAAGAATGATGATGTATATTAACAGATGGAAAATTTAGTAGCAAATAATACCAGATATGAATTATACAAGAAGTACACAGGAAGACTTCTTTCAGATATCTAGAATAAGATATTTCTCTCTCTGCAGATTACTGAGGCTAGTTGTTGAAATAGCCATAGTTATATGACATTCCTCTTTTTATTTTGTAAGTGCTCAGATTTTTTTATCCAATCTCATTCACCTTCTCAGTGAAAAGTCCTGAGTTCATCTGCACTTTTTACTTTGGCCCTATAGGAGTTAAGCTTCAAAAGCATTGTGCTAGTCAGTATCCAATTTTTTAAAAAATTTTTATGATTGTGCTCCGTATCATCCTTTTAACTCATCAGAGTTTACAGTTACTGATTTTTATCCTGGGGAGCGATAGTTTCCAGTCTGGAAATCTGAATCAGGGTTACAATCTATGACAGAAGAACCTTTTTGGCAAGTCAAATATTGTATCTGGAAGGTTACAGTTCATACCCCCACCTCATTTTTTGTTATTCTTCTGTTGCTAAATATATCAGTCACCAGGTGCTATTCCTTTTCAATACTCTTTCAATTCTGGAAGCAGGCTGGATATAAGCATTTTAAAATTCATTGTAATGAAAGAACATTCAGGGTTTGGAAGCAAAAGAACTTCTAAAACAAAAGCTATCAAAACATTCTAACTTAAAAACTTAAATTTTTTAACCACATACTTCTACTTGCACAAAAACTTTAATAATGTCAGTATTTTGCTTTTGCTGCTGCTTATGAGAGCATTCTCTTTCCACATTTTACAAGGAATGGAGAATAAAAAGTGTTATTTTTTTGACAGCCTGCAATCATTCTACACCGTATGTTTGGCAAAATGCTTGCAAATTAGAGTGAGGATTTTGTCTTGTTTTATTAATTCATTAATCTCAAGAAAATTTTGTTCAGTACTATTGAAAAAGAGTTTTGGACATGGTAGCAGATTAACAACCTAACATTTTTCACTCCTCAGTGACCTGAAGGTGGCATACTGGAATAATTAGTGTTAATACCTTTTATGTTCTTCCTAAATTACTTCAAAGAGTCTTCGCACAATGATAAAAATGTTTTCAAATAGAGAAAGAGACAGTGTATGCCTTATGTGATGATCATTGCAAAGGGAAAGCTGCCCAATGTAGAAGTTTGATGAAAAGAGGTGAAAAACCTCATGAAGAAGGCCTGCAATCAGAATTAAAGGAGAGATTATTACTACCAAGCTATTCATATGTTTTCAGAGAAGCAGTTCACTTAACAGATGACATTAAAAATCTCTGATTCCAAGGGAGAAGCATCAGCATTCCAGATGTTTCAGTGTGATTTTTAAAAATGCAAAGCTTTACTGTTCCTTAAACTTGGAAAAAATCTATAGAAGACTGGATGCCATAGGAATACTAAATTTTTTTGTTAAATACTTGGCTTTTTAGGGTATTGAATTATTTTTATAAAAAATGTACAGACAGATGATAGAACCATTTTTTGACTCTTCTGTGGAACAAGCAGTGTGTTCCTATGTACTTTGGGAAAAGTTGTAAGTGCATTTGACTTTGTGTGCTTCTGTTTTCTCATATGTGCTTTACCATTTCCACTTCTGAGTCTTCAACATTTTGGCTGTGCTTCCATTATAAGGCACTGATCAGTCCATATGTTTAGCATATAACACTTGGTAGAAGTGATGAGAGGACAGAATTAATTTTTATCTCACCACTGTTTTCCTCCTGCTCATTGCCAATAAAGCAACCCCTGATCATTAAGAATAAGGACAAGGGGGAGTGGTTTTAAGGAGGTCTGGAAGATCTACTGAAACATGGTAGGTTTAGATTAGATATTAGGAAAAAAAAAAGCTTTTCTGTGAGGGAAGCAAGGCACTGGAACAGATTGCCCAGAGAAGCAGTGGATGCTGAGCTCTAGCAGTGTTCAAGGCCGTGTTGGATGGATTTCTTAGCAACCTGGTACAGTTGAAGGTGTCCCTGTCTAGGGAAGAGAGGTTGCAATGTGCTAGCCTGTAAGGCCCCTTCCAACACAAACCATTCCGTGGTTCCATGACTCTATGAATTCCATCAAAGATGGAGTAGAAGTAATGAAAACTATATTTAATTTTCAGAAAATTTTGTATTTCTCTGCTGAATTTTCTCTTCAGCAGCCAATCTCTCTCACATGATCTATTTTGCAATAGTGACCTGTGTGTTTTCGAAGGAGTCAATAAACAATTTTACCGATAACTGTTTACTCTGAACTTCTTTCTTTTTAAATTCACTGGTTTAGATGTGTGTGTACTTAAATCTGCATACACAAAATTTAACAAAGAGACAGAAATATAATCTTGTCTTTATTAATACAACCTGTGTATTTTGCTTGCCTTGCTAAAAAACGTGTATAATACTAATATGTTTGCATCATTCAGACCACCAAGATGTTTGAACATATTATTGTAAGGTTCACTTTTTATTAGTTCCGTAATTAGTTTATTACATCCATTTTCTGGCTGCATGCCTCTAAAAGCATCATATTCTGAAGTCTGAAAAATTGTGTTGTATGTTTTCATAGCATTCTTTTCTCCTCTAGATGGCCATATTAATCTTTCTTTTCAGCATATTTGTATAGAACTCACATGGCATTTTGTGTAATGTTTTTGACACTGAAATGAAGAAAGCTATATGCTCTGCAGGCTTTGTTGGTGTATTTTCATGATAGAATGTTCTAGTAGCACTTTTGGTAATTCTGTGCAATTCAGGGTTTTAAATTTTCATTCACAAATACCTGCTTATGGCCAGTGTCTGACCTACTTTATATGTTTGTATTGCACATTTGATGCATTTAGATTTTTACATGTTTTGCCTATAGATACACTAAATGAAAAAAAAAATGTTACTGTACTTGGATGCAAGTATTTATACAGATTGTAAGCCATTGTAAGTATAAAACATTTGCAATGAAATCTTCATGGAGAGGCTTAATTCCAGTGTATGAAAGGAAAACCTAATTCAGTAGCAAATCAAGTTGATGACAAGGGTCACCATTAAAAGTAAAATGGTACAGAGGTTTATACCTGAAATTTTCAACTCTTGCACAAAAGACCAAAAGTTTTTAATCTCAGAAAAGAGAAACCTGTGTAACTACAGGATGTGTGGCTCAGTCTCTGTGCTCAGGTCCAGAGTCCCAGAGTCAGCTTGAAATTTGAAATCTTAATTTTGCCAATAATATTATTTTTGTACTTTCTCATATTATCCAGTAAAGTATAAATACTTGCTGAAGTGACTTCTTTTTCCTGTTTTTCTGACAAAACTTCCTTTTAGGTTTTTATAATGTGTATCTTATTTCTTATATTATTCTCTACCATTTAAGTCTTGAATATATAGTATTGTCTTTATATGCTCCAACTATTTGTAGTACTTTAGAAGAGGGGATTAATATAGACTGTAATATTATACATTTATTTCAGAAAATAGAGACTAAAAAATAAGGGGGGAAGAAAAAACAAGTAAAAACTTGATATTTCTGCTAACAAAGAGTTATGAATTGAAATAGGGATCTAAATAAGGAAGTGTAAAAAATTTATATTTGAAATCGGCATTAAAATTAAAATTGGCAGTCTTTGTATTTCATAATAGAAATATTTTTTAGTATCTATATTGGGATCTTAAATGGACCATGCTTTCTTAATAACTTGAATTTCAAAAA